TGTTTCGAAACAAGTTATAAATACCTCACAGGAGCTTTAAAGTAAATGTATTCATGAAATACTTTTAAATGCAGAACTTTTACTTTAATTTGAGTATATGTAGGACGCAGTTTTTGTGTGTGTGGTTGACCAGGACTGACCCTGCTGCTGCCCTATCTCTTGACTCGGAGGAAGCGTTGGGCCGCGTGTAAGGTCAGAGTGTTTGTGGGAGGAGATTCTGACAAGAAAGAGGAGCAAAGAGAAGAGTAAACACTTTGATTTATTTCCCTAATAACTGAAGTACATTTGTCATTAAGGTGACAGATGAATGAAGCCTAAAGCTCTAACATTTAATGTTTTTTCTCTAGGGTGTTGGCACTGATCAAGAAGTTTCGTCTTGGTTTCCATGACGTTGAAGTGCTTCCTGATATCTACCAAAATCCTCAGCCTGGAAAGTATGGCTGCCCACGACTTGTTTAACATCACTGAATGAAATGAAACATTAATATTGTGTGTGCCGAACAGTATTCAGCTGTGGTTACTCGCCACGTTCAATCCTACAATTCTGAGGTCCAGGCTTTGCAATACATTTCAGAGTTATCACCACTAAAGAAATGAAATCTAGGATCCTATTGGCCCTCATCTGACAGAGATCCTCTTGGAGCAATAGGCAATGTTTGGGCCTTCTTGTGTAGCCAGTGGTTACTGAAGGACCTCTGACCTCTGGGTAAATGGACTTGGACTTTTATTGGACTTTTCAAACTTTCTGCACAGAGTGGATCTATTTCAGGTCACGCCCACAGCTGAATGAAGCACCCTTCATTTTAGGAGGAGTAGCAGTGTTGTTGTCAAACCACACTAACCAAGACTAAGACCCAAGACCAGAGTGCTCCAAGACCGAGACAAGACCAAGACATTTAGGGCTCGAGACAAAGTCAAGACCATTCACACACTGATGGCTGCCACTTGAGAGACGATGGACTACTGAGCCAAAGCCGCCACACTTCTATCCTTTGCTTTCTCCAAAAATCCTGTTGCTTTATTATATATTTACACAAAGCCTTCATGTCTGTATCATACTCCATGCGAACAGATTAAATGTTGGCTTAGATCTTAAATCAGATCCTTGTGAAATATAACTTTTTGCTTTCTTCATGAAGCCAGAATTTCAATCAGCCTCATGGCAGCGTCCGGCATCACCTGCAAACTGCCATTGGCCATGATCTGTGTGTGTCTGTGTGTTCCAGCGTTCATCAGTTTGAGAACATGTTAGCTCGATTCAGGCTGGATAAGAACCTCAAACTGGGTTCTGACACAGGGACTCCCGGGCTGCAGGAGGAGCCGTGGATGATCACTGACCAGGATGTAGAGAAAAACAAGGCCAAGGTCTGACACACAAACATAGAAACATATGCACTGTTGTAATCTCCAGCACACACACTCTAATATTGGATATATTTATACAAAGAAAATATGAAATCTCTTTTTTCTCTGTCCTCTTTGATTAAAACTTCCTTGTGATTCAGTCTCTCCGCCAGATTCGCCTGAATGAGGTTCTGCAGGATTATTCCAGAGAAGCTGCTCTCATTGTTATGTAAGTGGAGTAATTCTTCTTTTTAGGTTCATTAAGTGCTGTTTTATTACAAGCTGAACAATGTGAGCAAAAGTTATGACAGTTTACCAACTGCACCCCTCCATTTCCTCACACTTAGATTTTAAAATAGATCAGCTGTGGGTGTTCTTAAGTTACAGAAACACAACACCTTTTTTAACCCTTTTGTCTGTGACTGTGTGTCCTGACAGCATCATGCCTGTGGGGAGGAGAGGGGCGTGTCCCAGTACGCTCTACCTCGCCTGGCTCGACTTCTTGTCTCGTGATCTTAGACCTCCAGTCCTAATGGTCAGAGGAAACCAGGAGAACGTCCTCACCTTCTACTGCCAATGAAACGTCTCCTTCAGACCATTGGACAGATGTGAATACACAATAACATCTGTACATTTCCATTTGATTGACACACAGTTCTGGTGACAATCGATCGTAATCTAGTCCTGTGATGAATGTATGATTCCTGAAATTACGTTGTACATTGAACCTGAATTCATCATGTCTCAAGAGTAACAATAGTAAATCAATGTAGAGAAAATATTGAGGATCAAAACACTTTTGATTTAAAGAAAATGATCAATACCAATCAATCAATCACATTTATTTATAAAGCACATTTTAAAACAGCTGACCAAAGTGCTGTACATGAAACAAAAGAGCAATACAGATTAAAAAGCAAAACAAAAATAACAAGAACAAGACAAAACTCACACATGCACACAGAATACTAACAATATAATTAGACAATAATATTATAAGACATTTGATAGAAGTACAAGCAACCTAACTAGGACTCAAAGGCCAACGTGTAAAAGTGTGTTTTGAGGCGGGACTTAAAAGATTCCACAGAGGGGGCAGACCTTTAAAAACAAACAATGCAACCTTAAAATCAATTCTGTAACGAATTGGAAGCCAGTGAAGAGAGGCTAAAACAGGGCTGATATGCTCCCTTTTACATGAGCCAGTAAGCAGCCTGGCTGCAGCATTTTGAACCAATTGCAGTCGTGATAGGGATGACTGGCTGATCCCCGAGTACAGGGAGTTACAGTAGTCGAGACGGGACGAGATGGATAATTATTTCTAAGTCATGAAAGGTGAGGATAGGTTTAAGTTTCAAGATGGTTAAAAAAAATGTTTTAACTACTGATTTGATCTGGTATTCAAATGTGAAGGCGGAATCAAATATTATTCCAAGGTTCTTAGCGTGTGGCTTGATGAGGGAGGAAAGTTGACCTAAGCTGCTTGGGACCTGTTTTATGGCTTCAGAGGGGCCAAAAAGAACCACTTCAGTTTTGTTTTCATTCATTTTTATTGGTCAATAAAAAATTAATTTAATATTAAAATATATTGAACACACTGGGCCATAGCCAAAACAAGAAACCTGCAGAGTCTCTGTCCGTCATCTTCTACAATTCTACAATTCATTTATCAGACGCTTTTATCCAAAGCGACGTACATCAGAGATTACATACAACACAAGTAAGGATCTAGAAAGGAAACAACATCTGCAAACAAACAGCTTTAAGTCTGATCGCACACGCAGGTGATGACAGGAAGTGACCAGAGGCAAAGCACAACATCGATGACAGCTGTTCTTAAGAGTTCTAATCAGAATCAAAACCATCCTAAAGCCATCATTATCAAACAAAATCATCATCATCATCACTATCATCATCAATAATCAAATTAAGTGTGTAGGTATTCATGTCACGTCAGCCTCTCTTCCTCTGTCAACAATAATATAACTTGAAAAAGCCTGAATGTGTTTTCATGGAACACAGTAGAAAAACTGTTACATGATCGAAAACAAATAAATTTGAGCAAAAAGCTGTTTGTGTTTGGATGTCTGGGGTCGCCTGAGTTATGTGAGTTCAAAGTGCGATCAGGAGCCACAAAAGGTTGGGAACCACAAACCTAAACTGACATGAAAGACAGTCATTAAACATCAATGAACAAGTAGTCATAAAATGAGTTGAGAATATATATTATGATTGATGGTATAGACACTCCCCTCAGTGCTTTCTTCAACACTTTCAGCTCCATCTTCAGGTTTTCAATCTGAATGCTGATCCTGGTCAGGGGCTTACAGAGAAGAGTAACAGATGCTGGAACATTACCAAGTCTGTCTGAAGTTGTAACATATATTAAAGGAAGAATGTGTGACATTTTACACATAAATAAAGCAGAAATGAACATTCATGACTGTCTACAACGAGTGAGAAGTGTGAGTCCCGCCAGCTGTATTGTTGTCGGGCTGTGTTTACATCATGTTTACATGGACGGTACGACCTTGTGTATAAAGCTGTTTCAGTTGAGGACTAGAGAAAAGAAGAAGAACATACTCACTGATTATTTGTCACGTAAGCATTTTTAGATCACCATCATTCTGTGTCAATTTATGTGCAATATGAAGCTATGAGCTAACCAAAGTGTGCTAACATTAGCATGCTAACACAACAATGCAGGACACAGGCAACTGCAGCTCCAGCAAAGGACACAGGACTGCTGTGTGGCTAAATAGCAGTTTGTTTTGGTTTCATGCTGGTGCTCAACGGCGACATTCTTCCTTTAAGTAAAAAAAGAGTAATTTAAAAAAGATATAACTGAATTAGAAAAATCTGCACTTTTTTTCTTCCCTAAAAACACTTTGTCAAATCAATTTCACTAATAATATAAAGAATGCTTTAAATATTAAGCCTCATATCCTCTCTAAGTCAGAAAAATAAATCTGTCTGTTATCATTAAACAAATGTATAAATAAATGACAACAAAGTGGACTTCTTTTTTTTTTTTTTACAAAATAAAACAAAAGTTTACTTCATCCTTATGGTGTTCATGCATCACGTTCATTCACCAGTGGAAATGTGAACATCAGAGACAAGACTTTCCTTATCATTTTTATTTAAATGTTTCAAACAAATAGTAAGTCAAGGTATATATTCTGTTTGAGCTGATAACTATATTTATATGTGGCTAAAAAGCTTTTTTTTTCATTACTGCAGAGTCTTCTTTAGAAACTCGACCAGGAGGTGATGAGGGAAACCAAAATCTGTCTGAATCACCACAAAGCCCTTCAGCAAAGAGAGCAAAATTAGTGACAGGTAAACCACAAACTGGGAAAAGTTCAAAAAAAGAAGTCACACTTACATCCCGAGGAAGCACCTCTGGGTTAAAGATGTCAAATAGGTTAGTTCCCTGTTTGTCCAACAGCCTGGTAAGTTCAACCTCAAGAACTGAAACACAACACAAAGTATCACTGAAGACCTCACATGTGGATTTGGCTTCATCTCTTTTGCAGAACAAATATAACTCAAATAATTGAAAGTAAATGTCCCCATTCAGTTTGAAATCAACTGCAAGAATCATCAGTTTGAAATAAATCCAGGATTTCGTGCTTACTTAAAAATTGTTGAAATACTTATTTGAAATAAATATGACCATCCTGCTGAAGCTGCAAATCATCTTGATATATTTCCGGTTTGTTTAAGTTCATCAATATATAAGCAAAAGAATTGATGATAAATAAAATCATATATTGACTATACTTTCATTTTTACACATTTGGGAATTTTTTTTATGATGAAGGTGTTATTGTTGTCTCACCTGATAGAACCTTGGGAATTCCTATCTTCTCCACTGCTTCTCTTACAAATTCCAGATGTGCCTCAGTCAGCAGCTGGATAGAGAGTAGGAGGTGATTTAACAAGTCATATCAAACATAGAAAATATAATCAACAGTTTCAACATCAACATGAACATTAATGATTTAAACTGCAGGAAACTAAGAGTTGAACATTTGTTTAATCTTTTCCCCACATATTCTGAGTCTCTGTGGTTGATATGAAGTTACAATTCAGTTGAATTTAAACTTCTTCACTTTTATACAAAAGTTTGACATATTACTATTCTGTGCCTTTGTAAACAGTCCTGTAGTGCAGCTTTTTCTAGAGATAAATGATAAATCCTAAATGGACTTGAATACTCAAAGTGCTTTTACACCACAGGTCACACCTACACATTCACACACTGATGGTAGAGGCTGATATGGAAAGTGACCATCAGTATTAGCTATCCCATTCATACACATTCATACATCACCAACGAAGCAGCAGGAGCAACTTGGGCTTAAGTGTCTTGCCCAAGGACACATCGGACATGTGGCTGCAGGAGCTGAGGATTGAACCTCCAACCTTCCAGTTGAGAGACAGCCGACTCTAACACTGAGCCACAGCCGCCCCCAATAACTGGATATAATGTTTTATTTCCCTCATCAGCTTACAACACTTTACCTGCTCATTTTGTAACAGAAGCTCAGCGCGGACTATAACGACCCTGAAAGAAAGAACATGGACGGAAAACCAGACTCAGTAAAAATGTTGAAACACAAAACTACACACTCAGAGATGATAGAACTGAGCACAGTGACAAAAACAAACATTATAGAGGTGGGCTAAGGCGGATTTCTGAAACTTTCCACAACTGAAAATCCACCAATTAGACACCCACTTTACATAAAGATGGGCCATGTGTGTTTCCTCTCCTTTTACCTTCTCCTCGTCTGCTTCTGTCCTTTTACAGTGTGTACATCTAATTACAACACCATGACGAGCCAACGACTTCATAAAGAGGTTTGGGCTGCTGAACCCACAGAACACACATTTTGTGTCTTTTAGGTATGTGTACTGATTTAAATGACAAAAATAAAAGAATGATTCTCATGTTGGAGTCTGAAGTCCAACAGCGGTTTACTGAACGCTTTATGTGTTTGTAATTAAAAATCATCACATCAGGTCTTACTCTGACGCGTTTCCCTTCAGGAAGAGTCTCTTGTCAGCATAGGAAGCGGTGACATCCATGACCACATTCTAGTAAAGAAAAAACAAACATCACTCAAACACAGGGTGCATTCTGGCTTTAGTGTTCTGAACTACAGAGAAGCTGAACTGCTGTAAAGGTTGAACATCTTTTTAAAGCTGTCAACACTTTCCATGTCCTGTCATTCAATAAGTGCCAAGTACCGTTTGAAAGAAGAGTGTTGGTGTGCCTTGCATCCCACAGCTGAGCTGCCCAGAGGCCTCTGCCCAGATAGTCGTCCCCGAGGTGGAGGTATTTAGAAAGGGAACAGATGAACTCCAGACTCGTAGCTCAGGAGAACCTGACTCCAACAGACACTGAACACACACACACACACACACACACACACACACACACACACACACACACACACACACACACACACACACATAATACAATATGTAATATGTCAAATAATATGTCTCATCTGACAAAGGTACAAGTTTTTGAGAGTGCGCAGACTTGTAAGAATGTGTAACATGTTT